ATGAATGATGGTTAATATTTTTACAAATATTTACATTTGTGTTTATGGAGTTTATTATAAGTTCTTTATAGGTTAGATTCTCTTTCTTCTCTTGAACATGTAATAATATATATTTTGTGATTTTTGTTACGTACTAGAGACTTCAAAATACTACAGCAAATACCTGTTTAAAAGTTACCTTTTATGCAGTTCACATGTGTCAGAAAATTATTTTATCACTTTTAGTGCTTAAAGTAATTTATATTAGGATTTTTAGCATAATTTTAATGTTAAAGTTTTGATGTTCTGTTGCTAGAAATCTAATCTTGGGATTTGCTATTCATGAAATAGAAATTGATTTTTATACCAGTAATAGAACCTTTTTTGAAGGTTCAGATTGGAGGAACTCTTGCATTGATTATATTTTTTATCTAATTTATTTCCATTGATTTGTTTTAGATCAGGATTACAGATACAGAATCACTATTTTATGTATATTGCTGATATTTATCATTAAAATCACTTTGACAGTTTGACAGTTCAAGGCATTTCCTGTGAAATGATACTAGTATGTATTTAACCATGCAGATCCTCAGTTTGTGGTCTGCCAGCTAAAGGTGAAGATATATTCCTCCAGTTCAGGACCCACACGACGGGAAGACAAGTTCATGTACTTTGAGTTCCCTCAGCCATTGCCTGTGTGTGGTGACATCAAAGTAGAGTTCTTCCACAAACAGAACAAGATGCTAAAAAAGGTTTGCACTTTACTTTTATTGAGAAAAATATCCAAAATAGCCATATTTTGAAGAGTAACCTGGGATCTTCTGCTTAAAGCTTTTGGTTAGGCAGAAACCATTCTGTAAGGAGAGATTAAAGGAAATATTTTATTTTATGACTGACATCTAATGAACTATAATTAGTTTTCTATTAGACTTTGATTACTGTAGGATTGATGAGACATTATATTGGTAAATAATCCTGTTAGAAAGAAAAGGCCAGATGGCATTGTATATGAGATGAATTTTCCTTAACAAGGATGGTTAATTAGCTGAGACCATAACTTTAAAAAAAAACTTTGTTCTGTTGGTAGAAATAAGATCTGTTCTGTGGTCTTATATAATGACACAAACTACTTTTTCCTCCATTGTGGTTTATGTTTTTTAAGACTGAGTTATTTTCTATTTAGCTTCCTCAGATTTACTGATTATTTAGCTTTTTTAGCTGAGAGAGAACTTGGTATGAAGAGGAAATAATAAAAAATGAAAAAAATGTGATATTATTCAAATATGGAGGTTTAGAAAGTTAGTGAGGTTTGTATTTTACTGAGCTATATTTAGAGAAGGCAAGAGCTCATTTTAAAATAAACTATCTTGGTTTAAAATATTAAATATGACTATTTAAAGTGAGCCTAGGTGCAAAATTTTTAGATAGTAATGAAGAAAGGCACTAGCTAGCTTTATGTATTGTTGTTGCCTTGGTGTGTGTTAGATAGTTAGCATATTGCCGATCTTCAGACATTCTTAGTAATAAGATTGATTTAGTTTTTTTTATTTTTTGATCTTTTTCTTTTGAAATAAAATAAGAGGAAATTTCATTTACTGCAAAAATTTTAAATGCTACTTTGACTTTATCCAGAAGTCAAAGAAATATGATTTCCTTTATCCAGAATCCAACTAGCTAGAAAAACCACAAAATATTAAACTGATTTTTTTTCACCAAAAACCCATTTCCTGCCTTTTCTGTATAAATCAAAGTTAAATATATCTTAGTAACTCTGAAAAGTTACTTTTTATTCCTGGAAGTGTTAGCAAATGTTTTAAAATTCAGATAATTAGTAAGTTCGGGTTTTTTTCCCCCTATGCATAATATTTAATACACATAAAATTTTATGTTTTGCATTTTAAAAGTCACCTGCATTACTATTTCCCTACACCTTTAGAATGTACTAATTCTTGTTTCAGTTCTCGTCACCAGTACTTAACAATAGCACATTTAAAATTGATTAAATTAAATATTTGTAATGTCTGTGTGTCTTGGATTACATAAATTTCCTTTTTAATTTTCCTGCCTTATTTAAATGTCTGCTGTGATTTAAATAAATGAAAACAATTTTAGTATAATAAATACACATAAGGAATGCACATTTTTGGAAACTTAAATATTATTAGCTTATTTTCTTCTGGCTCTAAGTAACATATAATCACTAACTCAATGACTTTGCTAAAATAATTGAAATTAACAAAGTAACTTGTCATATATAAAATCACCTTGCTAGGTTCTATTAAAAGATATAATGAAATTTTAAAGCATAGATCCTTAAGGGTCTTAACTTCTTGGAGAAAAACACAAAACTTGAAGATCAATTAGAATAAAAGATTTAAAGTGCAGTTTAAGGCACCAGATAAGATGTCACAAAGCTTTACATCATTAGTTTTCAAATGATTCATACAGGCCAGATTTCTATGTTGGTCAATAAAGGTTTGAAATTACGAACTTCTGTGGTTTTTGATTAAGAAAGCTTCATACTATTACAAAGTGATTTTTTTTAAGAATAGGCATTTTATGACATAATAAGAAATCAGAAGCACTCCTTCCTGCCCCCCTCATATTTTATTATGAAAGTTTTCAAGCACACATTGTCATGTAAGAAACTGGAGCCACTTAAGTTTTTATTGCCATAAAAGTAAACATGTATTTGTCATGCTTCATCAGGGAAGTTGCATTAACCTTCCAAGAACTTTTGTTAAAATAAATCTTGGAATATAGCTCATTTGAAATATGGAAAAAATTAAATTTGTACATGAATTTTGTTTGTACATACAAACTCAAAACATTTTTTAAGCTAGTATTAGAATAGAAAAGAGGTATTTTACTTGAAATTTTAAGATAAAAGTAAGTTATCTTAGTTTTTGAGATTATATTTGTGGTCTAAAAATGAGTAAAGGAAAAATCGTATGTGAAGGAGAATACAGTAGATAACCCATAGATTGCCATATAATAGTCTTTGTGTTTACCTTTATTCAGAATATCAAATGATACATAGTTTCTTTTGTTGACTTCTTGGGGGAATTGTCAAATAAAGGTGACGTAGTTTCTTTTTTAAAAAAACAAAAAATCATTTAATAAAAAAATAAGTCTTTCTTTTTCTTTCTTTCTTTTTTTTTTTTTTTTTTTTAGGACAAAATGTTTCACTTTTGGGTAAATACGTTCTTCATACCAGGACCAGAGGAAACCTCAGAAAAAGTAGAAAATGGAAGTCTATGTGATCAAGAAATTGATAGCATTTGTAGTATAGAGCGTGCAGATAATGACAAGGAATATCTAGTACTTACTTTAACAAAAAACGATCTTGACAAAGCAAATAAAGACAAGGCCAATCGATACTTTTCTCCAAATTTTAAGGTCAGTTAAATTAAACATCTTGGGGAGTTGGTAGTGACTTTTGTATATGTGTGTGTATGTGTATGTTTTTTAAACCCATCTATCTTAAGTGAGGAAGTGTGTGTTTTATTCTAGGTGTATAGCTGATGAAGAACTTGCTTGACTAGTTTTCAAATTATGTGTTACTTAGAAGCAGTGGTTATGTAGCTGTAACCTGAAGGTTTCAAATGAAATACCCTGATACACACAGAGTCAAAAGAGCTGCATTTTTTTCTTACCCAATTCTTTGTTGTTGTTTGGTGAAATATGGTGCAGAGGTACAGGAGGGGAGTTAAGTGAGTAGGATATGAGTTAGGAATGGAGGGAGAAAAAAATGGATAGAACTCAGTCATTTGTGAATGATTCATATGGAATGTTTTTACTGCTTCCACTCTTGTCTCCTTTCCAATTTAGTCTCAACTCTTTAGAGTGATCTTGATTGTATCACTCCTGTTGACACTTTATAAAGAGCCTGTGGTTTTTTTACCAATGATCTACAAGGACCTGCATAGTTTAGCACAGGCCTCCCCTCCTACATCAACTCAAGCCACCTTCTCTCCTTGCTCCCTGAGATTCAGCTGTACCGGTCTCTCTTCAGATCTTCACAGTGCTAAGCTTCTGCCTCTGATCTTTCCGGTTCTTTTCCTTCTCCTCGTACCTTTCCACCCCTGTCTTTCCCCTATCCTTCACGTGGCTGTTCTCATATTTCCACCCTTAGCTTCAATCTCATCATCTTTGAAAGGCCTTCTCTGATTGTCCTGACCTTTTATTCTTTTTTAAAAACTCTTTCTATTAATATTTACTCATTGTTTCTTGTTTCATTGTCATTTCATTGTATCTTTGTTCCATTTTTGTCTATATGTGATATGTGTGTATGTATGTTTCTATTTATAGATAAAAATTCTTCAGATTAAAAAAAAATCTGATATGTAAACACTCCCAAATGGTTATCATTTTTTCTTCCCCTTTCCTATTTCTTATTTTACTTGATTTTTTCCCCTCCTATTCACCATACTCTTCTCCTTTCTCTTATTTTTTTATTCTATTTTTATAACATATAACAAACCTAACCATAACTTATAAGCATAAGAATATTGCTAGTCATACTTCTAAAAAGTGAGGAGGGAGCCCTACAGATTTTAAGCAAAAATAGATCTAATGTTAAATGCCTTTAGATCTTAAATTTATTTTAAGAATTTCAAAGTCTCCTCTTTATTTTTAATTGACACATAATTGTACATATTTTGGGTTGCAGAGTGATATTTCTGTACATGTATATAATGTGTAGTGATCAAATCAGGTAATTAGCATATCCATCACCTCATGTATCATTTCTTTGTGTTGGGAAAATTCAAAATCCCCTAGCTATTTGAAAATATACAATACGTCATCTCTAACTATAGTCTCCTCACAGTACTACGGAACACTAGACCTTATTCCTCCTGTCTAGCTGCAGTACTGTTAACCAGCCTCTCCCTGTACTCCCCTCACCACTACCCTTCTCACCCTCTAATAACCGCAATTCTACTCTCTACTTCTATGAGCTCAACGGTTTTAGCTCCCACATAAGAGTGAGAAAATACGGTATTTGTCTGTGCCTGATTTACTTTACTTAACAGTGTCCTCCAGGCTAGTCATTTCTGTTAGAATCATCAGGTTTCCTCTCCTTTCTCTAAATCTGCATTTTTCTCAACCATTAGCTTTTAAAGTGTCTTTTTCCTTCTAGTTTTATTTTCTGTTTTAATATTGGAAGATGTTTTATATTTGTGATTATAAATGAAAACTTTGTGTTATTAGTAAACATTTTAAAATGTCATATTGTGGTAAGCGCTATGAAAATAGAGATGGGATAGAGAGTAGTCTTGGTGTGTGTTTTGTTTTGTTTGTTTTTTAAGCTAGGATGGTTACAGAAGGCCTGACCAAGCAGGTGACATTTAAGCAGAGGTATAAATAATACTAGTGAGCTATACAAAGGGAAAAAGAGGGAAGAGTAGAGATGCAAAAGCCCTGAGACAGGAATGAGCTTGTCAATACGTATATGAGAAGTGATAAGTCATTTTAACTAAAACAGAGTGGACAAGAAACCCAGCCCAAGTGTGAAGATATTAGAGTGCTTTCACTACAGGAAAGATGTAATCTGAGTTTCCTCTGTAAACGTTCACTCTGTTCATGCCATTAAAATAAAGACTGGAGAGGAAAGTAGGGAGGGGAACAAGAATGGAAGCTGGGAGATAGTTAAGAGGCAGTTGCAGTGGTTCATTAAAGGTGATAGATTGTGGTTACTTGGACTAAAGTAGTGGCAGTGCGGGGTAACAAGCTGTCAAATTAACTTAACAAATTTACTGATGGAGTATGGATGTTGGTTGTAAGTGAGAAGAATTGATAATGACTCTTGAATAATAGGGGAGGGACTGTTAATATAATTGCATGAGAAAGGGATTTGAATTCAGATCTGATTTAAATCTCACATCTACTGCCTACCAGATATGTGGCCTTTACCACATATCCCTAACCTTTCTGGGCCTTAACTTCCTCTTCTTTAAAATGCAAATACCAAACATGTAGGGTTGTTTTGACAATTAGTTTGTGCATATAAAGGTTCCTGGCCTGTTTAGACCACTATATAACGTTAACTTCCCTTTTCACACTTTAGTTGAAGTTTTTAAGGCTAATGGATCCTAAACATCATAGTTGATCACATATTTTGTGTAGTGTTGTTTATATAAAAAAATACGTTGAATTTCAGACAGGTAGTAAGAAAAACATTCTTTTGGAACTCAATCATTTGTGAATTGAATTTTGTAACTGAAAAACTATTGATAACCTTCAATCTTCATTTCTTTTGTAGAATTATTTAGTTAATGCTTGCAGTTTATTTTTTTTAAATAATGTATTAAAATCATCTTTTAAGTACATAGCAAGAAAGAAAATTTAGGAAATCCTAAGAAGTCATTTAAAAGGTAGTTGCCTTCTAAAGATCATGCTTGTTATTAATAGTACTTAAAAATTAATCTGTTAAAAATATATATCTTCACTAAATAATTTAAGATTAGTCAAATTTGTGGATTTTCATTTTAAATTTTTTCTTTCTCTAGGTGAAGCTGTACTTCACAAAAACAGTAGAGGAGCCATCGAATCCAGAGGCTAGCAGTTCAACTTCTGTAACACCAGATGTTAGTGACAATGAACCTGATCATTATAGATATTCTGACACCACTGACTCTGATCCAGAGAATGAACCTTTTGATGAAGATCAGCATACACAAATAACAAAAGTCTGAATTTTTTTTTATCAAGAGGTATAAAACACCATGAAAACAAACTTGAATAAACTGAAAATGGACCTTTTTTTTTTTTTAATGGCAATAGGACATTGTGTCAGATTACCAGTTATAGGAACAATTCTCTTTTCCTGACCAATCTTGTTTTACCCTATACATCCACAGGGTTTTGACACTTGTTGTCCAGTTGAAAAAAGGTTGTGTAGCTGTGTCATGTATATACCTTTTTGTGTCAAAAGGACATTTAAAATTCAATTAGGATTAATAAAGATGGCACTTTCCCATTTTATTCCAGTTTTATAAAAAGTGGAGACAGACTGATGTGTATACGTAGGAATTTTTCCTTTTGTGTTCTGTCACCAACTGAAGTGGCTAAAGAGCTTTGTGATATACTGGTTCACATCCTACCCCTTTGCACTTGTGGCAACAGATAAGTTTGCAGTTGGCTAAGAGAAGTTTCTAAAGGGTTTTGCTACATTCTAATGCATGTAATTTGGGTTAGGGGGATGGAGGGAATGCTCAGAAAGGAATATATTTTCTGCTGGACTCTGGACCATATACCATCTCCAGCTATTTACACACACCTTTCTTTAGCATGCTACAGTTATTAATCTGGACATTTGAGGAATTGGCCGCTGTCACTGCTTGTTGTTTGTGCATTTTTTTTTAAAGCATATTGGTGCTAGAAAAGGCAGCTAGAGGAAATGAATCTGTATTGGGGTACAGGAATGAACCTTCTGCAACATCTTAAGAATCCACAAATGAAGGGATATAAAAATAATGTGGTCATAGATAGAAAACACAGCAACAATGACTTAACCATATAAATGTGGAGGCTATCAACGAAGAATGGGCTTGAGACATAAAAATTTGACAATGATTTATTAAATATGTTTTCTCAATTGTAATGACTGCTCCATCTCCTGTGTAATCAAGGCCAGTGCTAAAAGTCAGATGCTATTAGTACCTACATCAGTCAACAACTTACACTTATTTTATTAGTTTTCAATCATATACCTGCTGTGGATGCTTCATGTGCTGCCTGCAAGCTTCTTTTTTCTCATTAAATATAAAATATTTTGTAATGCTGCAAGGAAATTTCAATTTGAGATTCTACAGTAAGCGTTTTTTTCTTTGAAGATTTATGATGCACTTATTCAATCCAATAGCTGTCAGCCGTTCCACCCCTTTGACCTTACACATTCTATTACAATGAGTTTTGCAGTTTTGCACATTTTTTTAAATGTCATTAACTGTTAGGGAATTTTACTTGAATACTGAATACATATAATGTTTATATTAAAAAGGATATTATTTGTGTTAAAAAGGAAATTAGCATTGCAGTACATTTTCCTAACACTGCACAAATAAGACATTTAATTTTTCAGTAGAAATTGTCCTACATATGCTTTATTGATTTGCTATTGAAAGAATAGATTTTTTTAATGTGCAGTGTTGTATCATTTCTTCATAGTGCTAGAGTTGGGACTAGGGCTTCAATTTCACTTCTTAAATATCATCATATATTTGATATGCCCAGACTGCATACAATTTTAAGCAGAGTACAACTACTATTGTAAAGCTAATGTGAAAATACTATTAAAACGGATTTTCTCCAGAAATTTGGTGTCTTTCAAATTATACCTTGATCTTGACATTTGAATATCCAGCCATTATATTTCTTAATGGTGTAAAATTCCATTTTCAATAACTTATTGGTGCTGAAATTGTTCACTAGCTGTGGTCTGACCTAGTTAATTCACAAATACAGATTGCATAGGACCTAATAGAGCAGCATTTATAGAATTTGATGGTAAGTAGATTAGGCAGAACTTCATCTAAAATATTCTTAGTAAATGTTGACATATTTTCCATACCTCATCAGTTTCATTCAACAAAT